TTTGAAAAACATTTTTGTTTACGGAGGCAGCGGTTAAGCGCACAAATCTCACACCATCTGGTGACTATATCCATTTAGTTGATTGGCCAAAGCGCATTTTAATTATTCTTGACTCTTCTCGTGACTCTCTTTTCGTTCGTGAATAATAAGTACTCTTTGCAGTTTGTGATGGTGTGGGGCTGTTCATTTTAGAATCAGGCTGTCAAATTAGAACCGCAGTGAGATTTCTTCTTATGCTGATGAGTCCCTGGCATAGGGCAAAACAGCCAAACAACTTAATAACTATTTCAATGTTAGCTTAAATAGCAACGATAGTCATAAAAGAATTAAGATTATTTTCCATTCTAAAATGCTGGAAATTGCCCGTACAGCGTTACCTGACTCACGTTTAAAAAATGGCACATCTGCCCCTGAATCGGCTTTAGTTAAAAGAAAAACGAGCATGATCTTTGTTAATTGTTAGATGGTATTCTCCAATGAAAATAGGCATTTTAAAATAGGCAAGTTTCTTCATCATACAATCAACATGAATTAATTGCGTAAGAGAACATGAAGATAAATACCCCTGACTTTAGAAAGACAAAGAAGAGGAAAGAAAAAGTAGTATAACATTGCACATAAACACAAACAGTGTGTTCGTCATCTGACTCCATGTAAAGGCACAAATTTCATATAAGGCACGAATTTTTCATAAAATCATATTATATAATCATCACCTGTTTTTTTGAATTTTAGACTATATATACGTTTTTTTAATTGCTTTTTTCCCCCCTCATAAAAACAATCTGTAAAAAGCATGAAGAAAGATTTAAAAATACAGCAATAACAGCAAAAACGTGTTATTTGTAGTCACATCTAAGGATAATAATTTTGAAACATTTTCTTAAGTTGCACCCGATGATGTGAAAGCCGTTCATAACCTAAGTTATTCAAAAAGGTTAGTCAACTAAAGTTGACGTTTTTTCGACAAAGGATGCATAGAATTTAAAGATGGTTAGTAATTTTGTCAAAATACATTTCGGCTTGTTAGCAGAAAATCAGCACGGAAAATAAGCACAAATAAAACACTAACTATGAGTTTTTTCTTGTCGGAGGACAATAAAAAATAATGTAATATACGTTAACACCTAGTAGCAAATTCACTGCTTAAAACCCAGGAGAACACCTTCTATCCACATTTACCTCCTGGGGCAAATCACAAGATACGAGATAGAAGTTATAACCAAGGCAACTTCGATGAAAATCAGCAACTGTAAGAAAAAATAATAATGAAAATGACAATAGTATCTACATAGGGTAACAAAAGCTCAGTGATTGGGGAGTACCCTAAGGATAGTGTAGTAAAGGAAACAGCAAACCGAAGGTATGAATCTTATTTCTCCATCCCCCAGTTGACACGAATTCATAATATGCCTATATTTAAATGCTTATAATACAACATCATTCTGATTTCTGCGTGCCGTATCGAGTTCCTGTTTCGATGAACTGGACAAAAAAAAGATGAGAATGCAAAGAATATTTAATACAGATCTCCCGTTAACTGTACACATGTTATGAAAGTTGTAAAATTGTGTTGGTTTAACTGGGCGTAGCAAGCCCGCAAGTTTTTTATCTGTTATGAAGATTTCAAACAATATCATCATTCATTTACATATAACTGGATTGTTTTCAGACCAAATTTGCAGGTCGGTTACGCTTATAGAGTTGGAACTCAGTACTTCTTCAATTTAAGCAAAGAATAATTAATATGTAAAGAAGGGCGAAACACTCCACTAATTTTTTGCTGCCACGCACGTTTTGCGTGGTTAATCACGTGACACAGCAAGGTGATTCAAGCTCTAATGTAACGTTACTGTGGTAAAACATTGCGCTAGTTTCATGTAAGTAAAACCTACCTAGTGAGTCTGCACCTGACCATGGAAGAAGATACCTCGCATATACTTGATGTTTTAAATGACCTATAACGTCAAATTACCGCCAATATTCATGCTTGCAATTTCTAAATATGTTTTTATTGTTGATGCAAAAAGCAACTTCGAGCACTTCAAGTTCATATGTAATACATTACCAAACTTGACGTATTTGACTTTTTAGCACAGAATAGATATCTTAACAGAAGGTCTACTCGTGTCGAAGCCTTTGATGTTCGCTTCCCCAAATTCTAAGCAGACACATCTTCCAGCAAGATACTTTAGTAAGATCGCAATAGAAAATATAGATGTTTTAACAAATACATCGTGTTCCACTACATAAGCTTGATACATTATACCCTTCCCAAAATGATGGCTCTTAGTAAAAATTTTGGTAAAATTTTGCTTTAAATGGAAATTATTAACAAAAAAACATTCTCGTGCAATACTATTCCATATCTATTTCGTGAAAGCATCTTGATGGGAAGTCACGCATGCGTAGTGTAAGAGTACGCCACGATTTTAACAGAAATAGCCTTCTGTTAGATGTCTATTCTGTGCTTTTAGTATATATAATATATTTTTATCAG